ATTCTAAAATTGCTTATCTGTATGGTAGGGACATTTCGTAAAAGGCTTTCTCAAGAATAAAGTAAAAGGAACAGTAATGATCCTTAAGACCCCAGAGATAAGCTTATAAGATAATTATTTGGTCTATTACTAAACTCTGCATGTGTTCATAAGATTATCAGTAGTTTCCTTTTAAAAACACCTCGCATAGCCTCCTCTGAAAACCATCATGAAAAGAAAGCCAAGAAGGGCAGAAGAAGCACAAAAGATTCCCAAGGGTGAGGAGAAGACTGAGGTGAAAGTCAGTGCTGTGTGGACCTGGTTTAGACATATGGGGAATAACCCTGAAAACAGACTAATCTCTGTGCGGATTCCAGAGCTCCAGATGTAATTTTTGCTCCAATTTTGCATCCCTCTCCCCCGCCTCCCCTTCTGCTCTCCACCACCAAGCTTCTGGATCTTCTGAAGAATGGGGGTTTTACAGATTCTGTGGGGAGTATGAAAAGGAAAGGGGACGTTGATGAATACAACTAAGCCAGCTCTTTTCCAGGATTGAGGGGGAAATGTCTTGGTGCCATCAAATGAAATCCCTACTCCTGGCTTAAATTAATAAAACTGCAACTTTATCCGGAATACTTTGGGAGCGTGGAGGAGAGGCCCCAGGGAGAGCAAGTCTTGAGGGGAACCGTAATGCTCTTGAAGAAAACCACACCTCCCTCTCCAAGTACATTGACTATTTCATTCAGCGCCTTCCTTTAATAGAATCCCAACCACCTGGACTACTAATAAGAGGAAGAAGAAACAAGAAAAAGCAAAAGAGGACGGCAGAAAGAATGCTCTAGCAGATCCAGGCAAAGTTGTGGTGAAGAATAAAAACAATCAATATTAAAATGGGGACTGAAACGCTGCAAAGGGCTTGCTTCTGTTAACACATATGCACAGGTCTAGCTCAGCTCTGTATTATACGGAATTCCTTGTTTACCATCCTCGTAGGAGGTCCTTAAATATCTGCCTGCGAACTCCAATGATCGTGGGCTTACTAGTGAGGGGAGGCAGCCCTCCCGGAGGGTGTCCAGCTCGGACGGCTAGCTGCGCTCTCACTTGTCCGTCACTTCCACCCAGTGGTCTTAGTCTCCCCTCGGATGTGGTGCCGACCGACTGCCATCCTTATTTCACTTGACCGAGTCCGAGCTGCAGCCCGAGGCAGGAGCTGCAAGCGCTGGGCAGAGTTCCAGGCGAGAGGGGCCGAGAGACGTGAGCAGCGCTCCACGGCGCTTGTCAGAGAAATGGAGCCGTGGCTCCTTTGTGGGCTGTTACGTCCCCCTCCCGGGTGCACAGCGGCGACATTTGATCTCCGGGGTGATTGATAAGTGCGGGAGAGGGGCCGCCGTCCTTCCCTCCCTCCGTCGCGCTCTTCTTGCCTCCTCGTCGGCTCTCTCCCTCCTTCCTGCCAGAAGCGCTGCCCGGCGGCTCGTCGCTCCCGTGGGGATCTGCCAGCCCTGGGGGCGCCGCCCGCGCCCCACAACGTGCCCTCGCTCCCGAGCCGCGCCGGTCCGAGGCTGTGCCGGCTCCCGCGCCTCCCAGAGTGGCAGATGCTGCGGGCGCCTCCGGGGGAAGATCCGGGCGGCGCGCTCGCTGGGTAAGTTCTGAGCACTCGGGGACGCCGTGGCGACGCGGCCAGCGAGCTGGCTTCTCTCAGCCCGTTGCCTTTCCCAGCCGCCTCCCTTAGTGGGGGAAACGGGCGTGGGGAGGCTGGGCGCGATCCTCCGGGGGCAGCGCGCTGGCGGACGCCCCTCTGCCCTCCACCCTCGTGCCGGCTTCCTCGCCCCGGGGTCGTCCGCGCGGCCGTGGTGGGGCTCGACGCGTCGCGCAGCCCCGTGGCCACCGGTGCCGGGGGCGGCCCACGCACCCGGTGACAGTTGCCGCTCGACACAAGGCTCCAGTGGCCCGCGGTGCCCAAGCCCCCGGACGAGGGCAGTGAGAGTGGCCGTCGCGGTCATGGGGCCCCGAGCTGGGTACCAGGCGTCTAGTGGCCAGGGGAAAGGGACACGGCTGCGCTAGCGGCCGGTGCCCGGTCCCCAGCAACCGGGACCTCCCCGAGACCCCCTGTCTCCGGAAAGAGTCCTTCCGAAATGGGATTCGCCCGGAGTTGCGGGCCGTGGGGTGGAGAAGGGGGCTGCGGGCAGGCAGTGTCCCCTCTCAGGCCAGCTGGATGCCTCTGGACCCCCTCGTGGCCTGGCGGGCGGCGGGGACAGAGGTGGGCTGTACACCCGCCGGCACCCACCGCGTCCTGTGAAAGCCGAACCAGGCTCTACTCGGTTAGATGCGAGTGAGACCGAGGCGACAGAGTCCCTGTTTAAGCCTCCCTCGCCTCAGTGACGAGAAGGACCTTGCCCTCATTTTAGCGCCCGCCTCTGCCTCCCCTGGGCTCCCAGCTCACCCTACTCCTTTCCACCGCCTCAAAAGCGGGGTGCTGCGGCGGCTCTTCCCGAGACGCGGAGCCGAATGAAAACTTCCTTAAAAGTGTTTATTAGATTTTAGGCTGAATTGTTCCCAGTAACTATGTTTCGGAAAGCGGCTGTGGACGCTCAGAGACAGGCGGGAGACCAAGGAGGGGTGGAAGGGTCAGCAGCCCGTGTAGGAAGCTAACCTTGGAAGGAAGACCTGCCACGCCACCTCAGGGTCCCTGGTGTTCCTCCCCCCAGCTAATTTACCACCGCATTTCCTTGATTCCATAAGTATCAGGAATTTCAAGAGGCCCCAACTCTCCTTGACCTTTCAATCTCCTTCTATCCCACAGCCCCCGAAATTCCTAACAAAACAATCTCTGTCCTCAAGTAGTATAACATCATCGTTGTCTTGGAGGAAATTACCATATTTGAGAGCTACAACTAATACTTGATATTTCACTTTCAAATACAATTTTCATTTTTTTTTCAAATACAATTTTTAAGAAGAACACATTTAGGTAACCCACCACCCCTGTTTTAAGTTTTTAGGTAGATAGTTCTCTAATTCATATTAAGCAGTAGAGGGCTTTTTGGGAAAGCTGCTGGACTCAGAATCCTTGGGTTCTGCTTCTAATTTTAGTTTCCTGAATTTAAGCAAGTCAGCACTTCCCCTGGTTGAGGAATGTCCTCATCTATAAAATGAACCTGATTTCTAAGGTCTTGTCCAGCTCTCACATTGGCTTGAAATTCAGTGAAATATTAACCTAATTAATAAATGTTTGTTGAATGAATGAGTGAACGAATAAACCCTCTCTCTCTAGGAACTATGTACTTTTAATATTTGGAAATACGTAGAAACAAATGCCCCTTTGCTATGAAAGGAAGCCCAACTGTGCTCGCACTGCCTCACTCTGCTTGCATCCAATGGTGCAACTGCAATAGACAGTAGGAGGCCATTCACCGCTGTCACCCCGCCCCCAGGAGGCCTCACCTCAAGGTTGCCCTATGGCATAGAGAAGGAAAATTTGAGGCCAGAAAGGGAAGGGGGAGGGGGCTCCTGATATCTTCGTGTCCAAGGCCTTTCTCGGAAGGAGAAGGAGGGAGAAGGCAGAAAGCCCGAGAAAAATGCACAGGGGACCACCAGAGCCACAGGTTGCCTTACTGCCTAAGTTTATAAACTACCCCAACCCTTCTTGTGAAGGAAGGAGCTTGTAACAACGGAAGGATCCTAGGACTCTGGCTTAACAGGGAAGGAGGAGGGGAGAAGCAATGGGCTTTCCATTCTCAAATGGCTCATTTTGCCTACGTGGTTGTCATTTCCACACTTGGCCAGGCAATGGGACCCTGCATTGACTCTCTCTGCAGTAGGTCTAGGACTAAAGAGGCAGGGAAAGCAAGCTGAACTGTTTTGTGGGATAGGCAGAGTTTGGTCAGTTCTTTTTCCCACTGTATTTCATTCTCTCCTTTTCCTGACTTATCTCTCCCTTCCCACCAAAGGCAGCCCATGGCCCTTCCAAGCAACAGCAGACATTATTCACACATTGCAAATGGACTCCACACTGGGAGACACCTGGGTCTAGGGGGCTGTAAGATCATTAAGGAGAAAAGAGATAGTGAAGGCAAAAATCCAACACCTGGTGTTAAGTAATGGTCTGAAAAGGTTATTTGAACTCAAATTGAATGTCTGAGCTGGGAGGTCCTACATAGTCCACCCCCTTTTGCAAATGGAGAGAAGAAGATCCAGACACTAGCTAGTGACATACTTGGCAACAGCTAGATCAGAACTCAGGTAGGCTGGGTCTCAGGCCAGGACTCCTTTTACCTCTCCTCTTTTCCTCAGGAGCCAGTCTTCCTGCACTGCCTTCCTCTGTTCTCCTAGCTCCCCTGGCCCTGCAGCCTGGAGGGCTCAACCACCCTTCCGTGGGCTCCCACTCTCAGCTGAGGCTCAGCCTGGCAGTACCTTTCTGACACCCACTCCTCTTCTTCCCCCAGACAAAAAGCACATGTTTAAACCTTATTATCTGGCTAAGTATAAACCTCAGGGAGAGAAGGGTTTTGTTTCTGTTTATCTCAGACTTTAAGTTAACATTGAGCTGGCTTTCAGAGTTCAGGCCAATATCTGTTTGGCTGGTCACCACACAGAAAGTCATTCTCTCAGCACTGAAACAAAGCTCTGTATGTAAAGCATAATTCCCCTAGGAAAACTCCTCACCCTCCTACATAGACGTACTGGTGCGCACATACACCCCACTCTGCACATCGACAGCATGTGAACTAGGAGGCTGGCAAGCAGGCACCAGTCCTGTAGCAAAGAGGCACACAATACACACACACACACACACACACACACAACTAATCTTCCTGGGAGGGTCTGGAGCCTTGCTTGAGAATCTGTGCTGAGACACCCCACCCCCCACCCCTAATCGCCAGTGTTTAGGTGAGGGAGGGAGGGGCGGGTGGAAGAATCCACTCAGAGGGGCCCATGGAGTTCCGGCGATGTCAGTCCCTTAGTGCGGCCCCTCCTTGAGAAACCCCTCTGCAGGAGCTTCTCCCGCAGCCAGCAGGGGTGGATGGAAGTGGAGTAGTTCAGAATCAAATGACGCATCCTGGAATTAAGCTTTGCAAAGCCACTCGCAGGGAAAGGAAGCATCTGCCCCACCCTCCCCCACCTCGATCCTCTGCCTGCCCCCTCCCCCCGTGACGTCACCCTAGCCCTGTCCCGGGGAGCCTGCAAAGCCTCTCAAATTCAAACTGCTAGACGCACTGCTGCTGCCACCACCGGATTGGAAGCGCGCGCCCAGGTTCCGCCGTCGCCGCCGAACGCCGACCTGGCCGGCCGGCTCCCAGACCTCCGTACGCAATCGCACCCCGGATCTCTGGCGGCTAAGCTTCCCTCGCCCCAACCCTCCTCTTCCTCTTCTGCTGCCTGCCGGATTTTTAATTTCTGCGCACCGTCCCCCCACACCACCCCCAACCAAATTAAATCAACCAACAAAAAGCAGGGCATCCCCCCTGGAAGCGGTGTCTTCCTTTACCTTGCTCTCCCTCTATTCCTGAAGATGCTAAACTCCTGGCGGATTGCAGAGGGGCGTCCCGTCTTCTCCTGATGTGTGAGTACCACCCCCCCGCGCTGTCTTTGCTCTGCCATCTCCACCCCTGCTGCCAGCCCCCTGATTCCTGATATTCCCACCCCCTCTTTGCGCAGTTAAAAAAAAAAAAAAAATAGAAAAAAATGTAAAGCAATTTCTGCTTAGAGACCAAGAGGGGCGAGCCGCCGGAGATCTCTTTTAGATACCCCAGGGGAGAAGATGGGCTGGATTTTGTAGGACAACTCGGTTACTAATGACTCCTTGGTTGGCTGTGACCCGCCTGGAAATCAGGTGCAAGCATGTGCGTTCCGGGACGCGTGTGTGGGTGGGCTGGGGGCGGGGGGCGGTAAAGGAGAGGAGACAAGAAACCGCTTTGAAAAACGCAGTGATTTCATTCTGCCGTGTTGCCCACCCCCTCATTCTCCCTCCCTCCCACTCCACCTCCTTGCTTTGCCATTTTAATCGGGCTTCCTTGTTTCTTTCTTCCCTGCATCCCGCTTCCTCCCCTCGCCCCCCACCCAAGGTTTGCCTATAGGTACCTGGGCTGACACCGAAGGTGCCTAAAGATGCTGAGCAGCGTTTGGTTCCTCAGTATGTTAACCGTGGCCGGGATCTTACAGACGGAGAGTCGCAAAACTGCCAAAGACATTTGCAAGATCCGCTGCCTGTGCGAAGAGAAGGAAAATGTACTGAATATTAACTGTGAAAACAAAGGATTTACAACTGTCAGCCTGCTCCAGCCCCCCCAGTATCGAATCTATCAGCTTTTTCTCAATGGAAATCTCCTGACCAGACTGTACCCAAACGAATTTGTCAACTACTCCAACGCCGTGACTCTTCACCTAGGTAATAACGGGCTGCAGGAGATCCGAACAGGGGCATTCAGCGGCCTGAAAACCCTCAAGAGACTGCACCTCAACAACAACAAGCTCGAGGTATTGAGGGAGGACACTTTCCTGGGCCTGGAGAGCCTTGAGTACCTCCAGGCTGACTACAATTACATCAGTGCCATTGAGGCAGGGGCATTCAGCAAACTTAATAAGCTCAAAGTGCTCATCCTGAATGACAACCTTTTGCTGTCGCTGCCTAGCAATGTGTTTCGCTTTGTCCTGCTGACCCACTTAGACCTCAGAGGGAACAGGCTGAAAGTAATGCCTTTCGCTGGTGTCCTTGAACATATCGGAGGGATCATGGAGATTCAGCTGGAGGAAAATCCATGGAATTGCACTTGTGACTTACTTCCTCTCAAGGCCTGGCTGGACACCATAACTGTTTTTGTGGGGGAGATTGTCTGTGAAACTCCTTTTAGATTGCATGGAAAAGACGTGACCCAACTGACCAGGCAAGACCTCTGTCCCAGAAAAAGTACCAGTGACTCTAGTCAGAGGGGCAGCCATGCTGACACACACGTCCAAAGGCTATCACCTACAATGAATCCTGCTCTCAACCCAACCAGGGTTCCAAAAGCCAGCCGACCACCTAAAATGAGAAACCGTCCAACTCCCAGAGTGACTGTGTCAAAGGACAGGCAGAGCTTTGGACCCATCATGGTATACCAGACCAAGTCCCCTGTGCCCCTCACCTGCCCGAGTAGCTGTGTCTGCACCTCTCAGAGCTCAGACAATGGTCTAAATGTAAACTGCCAAGAAAGGAAGTTCACTAATATCTCCGACCTGCAGCCCAAACCTAGCAGTCCAAAGAAACTCTACCTAACAGGGAACTATCTGCAAGCTGTCTATAAGAATGACCTCTTAGAATACAGTTCTTTGGATTTGTTGCATTTAGGAAACAACAGGATTGCAGTTATTCAGGAAGGTGCCTTCACAAACCTAACCAGTTTACGGAGACTTTATCTGAATGGCAATTACCTTGAAGTGCTGTATCCTTCTATGTTTGATGGACTGCAGAGCTTGCAGTATCTCTACTTAGAGTATAATGTCATTAAGGAAATTAAGCCACTGACCTTTGATGCTTTGATTAACCTACAGCTACTGTTTCTGAATAACAACCTACTGCGCTCCTTACCTGATAATGTATTTGGGGGCACAGCTCTCACCAGACTGAATCTGAGAAACAACCATTTTTCTCACCTGCCTGTGAAAGGGGTTCTGGATCAGCTTCCAGCTTTTATCCAAATAGATCTGCAAGAAAACCCATGGGACTGTACCTGTGATATCATGGGGCTAAAGGACTGGACAGAACATGCCAGTTCCCCTGTCATCATCAATGAGGTGACTTGTGAATCTCCCGCTAAGCACGCAGGGGAGATACTGAAGTTTCTGGGGAGGGAGGCTATTTGTCCAGATAGTCCAAACTTGTCAGATGGAACTATCATGTCAATGAATCACAATACAGACACACCTCGGTCGCTTAGTGTGTCTCCTAGTTCCTATCCTGAACTACACACTGAAGTTCCACTTTCTGTCTTAATTTTAGGATTGCTAGTTGTTTTTATCTTATCTGTCTGTTTTGGGGCCGGTTTATTCGTCTTTGTCTTGAAACGCCGAAAGGGAGTGCCAAGTGTTCCCAGAAGTGCCAACAACTTAGATGTAAGTTCTTTTCAATTACAGTATGGGTCTTATAACACTGAGACTCATGACAAAACTGACGGCCACGTCTATAACTATATCCCCCCACCTGTGGGTCAGATGTGCCAAAACCCCATCTACATGCAGAAGGAAGGAGACCCAGTAGCCTATTACCGAAACCTGCAAGAGTTCAGCTATGGCAACCTGGAGGAGAAAAAAGAAGAGACAGCTACACTTGCTTACACAATAAGTGCCACTGAGTTGCTAGAAAAGCAAGCCACACCAAGAGAGCCTGAGCTGCTGTATCAAAATATTGCTGAGCGAGTCAAGGAACTCCCCAGTGCAGGTCTAGTCCACTATAACTTTTGTACCTTACCTAAAAGGCAGTTCGCCCCTTCATATGAATCTCGACGCCAAAACCAAGACAGAATCAATAAGACCGTTTTATATGGAACTCCCAGGAAATGCTTTGTGGGGCAGTCAAAAGCAGACCACCCTTTACTGCAAGCTAAGCCGCAATCAGAACCAGACTACCTCGAAGTTCTGGAAAAACAAACTGCAATCAGTCAGCTGTGAAGGGAAATCATTTACAACCCTATGGCATCAAAGGATGCTGCTCCAAACTGGTGGAAGCATGGCATTCGCTTTTGTGTTTGTGTTCTCCCTTTACCAGTGTTAATGGGAGACTTTGAAAATGTTTGGGAGATGGGATAAAGCAATGATAATGCTTTTGCAAGTTTTCCTTTAAATTATTTCTCTCTTGCACTCCCCCTCAATTTTTTTTTCTCCTTCTCTTAGGAACCTTCAGTGAACATGAATGTTTCAACAATGCATTTTTTCATATATTTTGTTTATGGTTTTGTTTTTCCTTTATTTCTTTTTTCTCCACTGTGGGAGTGGAAAGAGAGATTACAGGGAATGAAGAGAGAATAGGCAACCTTTTCAAATGAAAATGGATATTTAGTGTATTTTGTAGAAGATCTCCAAAGATCTTTCAGGACTGTAACTTCTTTTGTAAATAATGATATATGGTATTTCCATTTTCAGTTACCAAGTACAGCCACTGAACATCACTTCTTTGTGTTAAAGTGCCTTTGCACTTTAAGTACATTACATAAATGTTGCTTTTAGCTTTGATAAATATTGAACATATTTTAATGTGTTGTATTTTTTAAATTGAAAACACTGTAAAATAGATTGATATGTCAGCTATATTAAGTTACCGAATGGTTTGCTTGAGTTATAGAAATCAGCTTGTCATCAAGTGATTCTAGTTCTAGGACTTTATAGACGTAACTGTAAAATACTTCCTTCCTCTGGGTTTGTTTTAAGTGATTTTATTTAAGTAAACTAAGGGGATTTAACAGTGGACTAGAGGCAATAAGCCACCTCAGTTGGGATTAGTAAATTCATTAATAAAATATTTAACCCAATATCAGAGTGAATTGAACAATTAATGCCCTTTCGTAAATCATTATTTTACACTAACATGGTGTTTTAGATTATTTTCCTAATTAAGAGTACATTACACAACTTGTAATATATTTTTTCTGCATTAAATTAGATATTTTTATATATTTAAATGAAAGAGTCTGTATTTCTAACTTTTTAATTAAATTAATATTTTTTCTGCCTATTGAAACATTTTCTATAAACACACACCAGTAGAGGCCGCCACACACCTCATTTAACTAAGACATATGAGCCATTAAATACCTTGAAGGAAGACTTCAAAGGTGACATTAAAACTTCCCAAGTAATTTCTCTGCAAATTCAAGGTAGCAGAGATAAAAATGCATACATTACTTTCTGTTTCTTTCAGAATCAAATGTTAGACTTAGAATTCGTTTCAATTTTTACATTTTCTGTTAAAGCAGCACTTTCCTCTGGAGTTTAATTGAAGCATTAAAGGGGTGCTATCAAATTATGTACTATTTGCATCTCCAAATTAACTAATAGTTACCTAACCTAAGACAGCGAGTGCATCTTTTTCCTCCTGCCTTCTTTGGGCATGTGTTACTTGAATTTTTCCTTGTCAGCTTAACAAACCTTTCATTTTGGTCTTAGCATTAAAATGATTTTAGCTAACCAAGTCTATATAACGTTTATGAAGCCTTATTAGTCTGTAAATAATTTTTAATGCAAACATTATTGTGTGATTTAAACAAACAGTCCTTCTTTACAACAAAAAATAGTTTTGTTTTGTCTATTGTAAATCCTTATGCGACTGGGATGGTGATCTGCATATAAAGTAGTCCAGCTTTTCAATTCCTTATTAAAGCAAGTGATGGCGTCTGAAAGAAGCACACTGTTTCCTTTTCATAAATAGGTTACTGCACATAATAATCCTTTATTATCATGTGGAAATTGAAGTGGATCCTGATAACTTACTTTTAAAGCTTTAAAATGACTAATAGTGTATTGTTGGTCACTATAAACAATTTATGTGATAGGCTTTCAATTAGAAATTACTTAAACTCAAATTACTTGGATTAATAACTACCGGTGCAAAATAGGTTTTTTTTTTTTTTTTTAAAAAAAAAAAAAAAAAACAATAGAAGGTAATTTTGTGTGTGTGTGTGTGTGTGTGTGTGTGTGTGTGTGTGTGTATAAATGTAAAGGGTGTGCAGGAAAAAATTCCTTTAACAAACTAAATAAATATCTGAATATCTACAGTGACAAGCTAACATGTTCATTCTTTGATTAGAGATCATAATTCCTATTTAAGTCCACTAGATCAAAGTTGAAAATGGTGATTTACAAGAAAGATACTGTACAGAGATTTTACATTTCACAGAAGGGGAGCTAGGGTATTATGTTAGCTAAACTTGGAGATAGCTCTTGGAAACCACTTCATCTTAGAGTGAAGTATTTTATATAGAAACAGAGTTTCAAAAATCCTCTTGTGGCTGCTCTCATTTGTTGCAATGATAAATGCAAAATATAGAGGTAGGTATTTGGGCACGTGATTATGAAGGAAAATTAGCATGTAATCTATTAAGACAGTTTTGAGGCTTAAACTATATGACTAGAGCTACTGATGTAGTGATTCCACTTCAGTGTTGTTATTCTCCTGAAAGTAAAGTCACTCCTGAAAATTGACATTGTCCGTAGAAAAATTAATTCATTAATCTTAAAGAGAGATATTTTAATATTCACTTAGTTACATGGTTTTAAAGAGGCTTCGTGGAATAACTCAAATTCATAAACTCTTTTGCCTAATTATTATGGTTTATTTTTATATTCTAATGCTTCTTAGATTTGTACGTTATTTGCATTAGGTTTTAAGAGGAAGTCATTTGAATGCAGTCCAGACTATTCCATTTAAAAGCATAATATACCATATATTTTGAAACTTTATTTTTAATGCAATCATAAATACTTTAAGTTTTATTAACTTATTAGCATTCCCACTGACTATATTCTGTTTTGCTTTATCCACTCAAGTGCTTTCAAACATATTTTAGCATTTTTCTTTTTATCTCCTACAGCTGGATTTTGCTATTTCACTTTTATTTCATATGCAGCTTGTAATGAATATGAGCATCAGCACAGCAAAATGGTCCCAACCAACAGAACGCCATCTCCCAGGGCTCTGCATGGAACACATCTATATGTCTGGCCCTACAAATGGCAAATGGTAATTCCCTTTGGTTCTAGCTCTTAATTAGTTGCTTTCACTATTTCTAAATATACCTGTGGCTAAATTTGTATTGAAACACTCAAAAGTACTACGTCTCAGCCTAGACAATTCCCAAGAGTCTAATTTGGTTCTGAACTTCCGTCAACCTGTGTGCCTTGTTAGTTCTCTCCAGCAGTTAGCGAGTAAGGAAATGACCCTTCAATTTCCTCTTCTTTGCCCTTTGACCTCTAAGGAAACTTAATTTTTCTAAATGTTTCCATGTCATCAAGGGCTTAATATTTTATGGATTTTACAAAAGTATATAAGGAATGAGAAAGAGATTCTGTGATTTTTTTACACCCTGAAAATTCATTTTGATTGTATACATTCCAGAAATACACTGGATTGGATGCTAGAGTGAAGAAAGCCTTTCATACAATTCTCCTAATCCATTTTTTTCTTCATTCATGCATTTAATAAATATTTATTGAGTGTTTGCTTCCTAGGTGTCAGTTTCTATGCTGTGTGCTGTGGGGGTACAGAGATACAGTGGACAGAATCTCTACCCTACTTACCCCACCCCCTTCACTCTTCACCTTCACCCCTCTCACCCTGCTCCTCCCACAAGGAGCTCAGTGCTAATAAAGGAAAACTACCTGAATGACAATCACCCAGAGTAAGCAATGGGAACAGTATTTCAATGGAAGGGGTTAAGTTTTTAAAGGTGATTCTGTGCAGTGAAGTATAAAGCTGATAAAATCATAAAATATTAGCTACAATGTAACCACTAAAATCTCTTTAGGGTTACAAAGCTAAAAAGGAAAAATAAATAAATAAAATAAAATAAAACAAGTTTCTGGAGAACAGGGCCCAATATTATGGCCTAAAGATAGCTATATATTTGTGCTGTCTAAAGATCTACTTTGTAAAGATAACTAACGAGATTGTAAATATAAAATCACAAATGTACTTAAATTTTCTGAAATATCCATGCTTTAGAGGCAATATTTACTTTATATTTCTGTGGCTTAAAAGATAATATTTTGGCTTAAGTGTCTTTTTACCAATACAGTGACAAGACACCTTAATCCTGAGAGAAAATTAAGTACTGTATATAGATGTACTTTGCTTCTCACAATGGTTGTGCAAAAAGTCACGTGTAAATTGAAGTTTTGTAAATCAAATCGTATTTTAAATGCATTAAGGAAGCTGTCATTTAGAGCAAACTTATGAATCCTTTTATAAAGCAGAAAACCATTTTATAATACAAATAATCATTCTCTAATTTGTCTGTTTTGTATGTTTGGATTTTCAATATCGACTTTGCTTAAAACAGAGACCACCTGCATAATAACAGTGTGTTTTGCCAGTGCTGCTTGTGCTACCAGTTTCTTGATTGCTAAGGGCTTATACTTGAAAGTCTGCCGCAGTTTTGTGTGAATTGAGCAATCGAGTGCTTCTATGATGGCACAGTAGCATTCCTGAACAGTGCCAGCAGCAAACCCATTTCAATTCAATTGAACACAAGACTCTTCTGCTAAGCAGCATCTCTCTCAGATGTGGCCATGTTTTATCAGAGGGTAGAGTGACTCCTGTATTCACGTTCTATAAAGTGCTTAGAGTCACAGGTTTTATAATAAATATGTTGTTATGTAAATATATTAAATTGCATGTGTGTTGTAATTTTTAGCAGTATTTTAGCTTGAAAATACTTGTATAAATACTGTTAGATTTAGTTGCAAATAATTGTTCTCAAGTTATTGGAATAAACAGCAAATGAAACAAGCTCTCGTGTAAATAGACTTCTGTGCCAAATAGTGACATTGTTTCAAAAAATAAATGTTATATTTTGGGATAATAGGCAAAATGAAATATTGAAAATGTGATCAAACAATATTGTGTTTTATTGGATAAACTGTTTTTTTTTTTTTTTTTTTTTTTTTTTTTTTTTTTTTTT